GGATTGGCAGCTTCTTGAAAGGTCGCTAACAGAGACTTGAAGTGGGTTCTTATCTATCAGATGATCTATCAGCTTCTGAATGTGATCTAGTAGACATTGATTTTTGAAAAAAGTGGACGCCAATTGGCTCTAAAATACCCCTTTCCCCCTCCACATTCAAAACAAAATTCGACAAAAACGGTCCATAAATAAAAAATCTATGAGGGTGGTCTGCTTTCAAATGGGTCACTCTGTATATGGTGCAACCCGCCTCATCCCCGTTCCATCTTTTTTCTCGTCTTTTTCCGTGAGGCCGTTAAAGAGCCAGAAAGCTCGAAAAGTCGCCTTTCACTCGCTTCCTTTTTTGTCGCTCGCTTGCCATTCTAGGGCACAGTGGCGTATATTCCATATTCCATGCAGTCTTTTGTACCGTTGTCTATTGTACCTGTGTCACATATCGTATGGCATTCTCGTTTTTCCCAAAAGAAGAACTCGGCCTCGAAGTTATACACATCGCGTGACCTGGTTTCTTAGAAAAGTGGATTCATCGAATTTGTGCATCTTCGAGAGATGAAGAGCGGAAGTTTTTTAATGAACAATTCAATGAATTGGGTGTGTCAAATTCCATGTACTGTACAGGCTGATGTTTCCTTATATATTGATTCCTACTTACAGCTTCGACTATACCAGGTGGAAAAAAACTTCAAATATAAAAGTTGTAGGGTTTCATCTGTACTATCTTTCGGCACTCCTTGAATAAACAAATGCGAAACGCAAAATAGAAAAAAAGAGTCCAAATCAGTTTTTTTTTAAATGGAACATCCTGTATATTTCCAGCTGTTGTGGAAGATCTTAGGCCGTTTTCGACTAGATTGTTGCTGCACTACTGGAATTTTTGCAATATTTTCAGAATATGTATAATGTTATTGGTTACTTTGATTCAATGCTAAAGAAGTGAAACATTAGCAACCTATATATATATCTGTGAACAGAAGAAAAGATCTTTCTCGAGAGTTGAAAATGTTAAGGGTGTTCCATTAAAAAAAAACTGATTTGTACTATTTTTTTTATTCGCATCTGTTTATTTATGGAGTGCAATGAAATAGATGAAACCCTACAACTTCCATATTTGAAGTTTTCTCCACCTCGTATAGTTTAAGCTGTAGATAAGGGTCAAATTATACGGAGACACCCTGTACATATTTCTAAAAATATTATTTTACAAAGAAATCGATGTGTATTTGTTGTGTTGAATCTCGCCACTAATATTTGCTTCAACTCTGGTCTTTTGAGTTTTCTGAATTTCAGCTTCAATCTCTGCAGTTCTAACAACTTTTTTGATTCAACTCTGGTCTTTTGAGTTTTCTGAATTTCAGCTTCAATCTCTGCAGTTCCAACAACTTTCATTTCATTTCATTAGCTAATAACGAACTTTCAAGTTCGCGAACGGAAAATAGCCTCTTCAGGGAACAAACACGAGAAAAGTTTCATAAATATCATAAAACTTTCTCAACAGTACTGGCGATTCGTTGCTATTATCTTTCAATTCTAGGGAATACAAATATAACATTTTATTAAAAAAATAATCCTTATAGTTCCAATGTTAGTTGAAGAGAGATTCACGGGATTTTGTGAAGTATATTATAGACGGAGAGCTGACAACAAATTCCATTGTCCGATTAATAGATCGATATCTCCTACCTTATTGTACTGTCGTAACATCATTGAAAACTGATCGGGATGTCTGGCAGATTTTCAGTGGTGGAGGTGGCCATAAAGGGTAAAAAAATCAAGTGCAACGTACGATTGATAGAGCGCTGAATTTTTGTAAAAATTATGCCACACACATTGAGTGGTGGAATCATATCGCCAGACCGTAAAAGTGCGTGAAAACGACCCTCCATCGTCTAATAAATAGAGACTTCGGCCAATTTTTTTCCATTACAATAGGATGAATGATCCTGGAGGGTTCTGAAATATATAAACTCAAATATCATGATGACTAGCGCACCTACTCAGATTTTTTCAACACAACAACTCAACATCATTAATTACACAGGGTGATTTAGGTTTTGAGGTACAAACAGGGGGTCAAAGTTTAATTTTTTTTTCTATTAATTAAAATATCTCGCTCACTTTTGAAGATATCAATTGGAAATTTTGCGTGGTTAATACTTCATAGGAACTGATCATATTAAGCATTTTAGAGATTTTTTGAATTTACAGTGTCTCTGACATTTTCCAGTTACCAAAGAGGGTTGATCGTTCAATTTAGAGGCTTTTTGCCCCCAGAAACGAACCGCTCTTGAGATAAATAAGCATAGACGTTTCAAATTATGTTAATTTTATCGATATATTTCTCTTAAATTTTATTCTTGGACCAAATTAGATAACAATAATGAAAAACGCGAAAGAAAGAATCACATTCCGCAAGAAGATTCTGCCCGAAAAGTTGAATGCTACTTTATTTTTCAACTTTTTCGAATGATATGGAAACAGATATCGGATGAGGAATATGGATACAACTGGATGGGGCTTAATCAGTGGCTTAACACGAATCTTCTGCGTGTTCGTTGGATTGATCGGTTGAAAGCAATCTGACCTTCTACCCTCTGTATCCTCGCTACTGATCAATTTATTGCATGAAGCAAATCATAGTAGGCAAAATTGACATGTTATTGCACGGATATGCTAATTTATCTCGAAAACGGTGCATTTCCAGAGAAAACTTGAAATGCAGATCTTGAAACTGAACGATCAACCCTATTTTGGAGGGAATAAAGAAGCATCTACCCTCAAAAACGTCTCATCCTATGAATTTCGAGCATCTTTGAAATGCTTTATATGATGATCTTCTAGAAAGTATTGACCACACCAAATTTCAAATTGATATATCCAGAAGTGAGCGAGATATTTCAATTAATAGAAACAAATAATTAAACTTTGACCCCCTGTATCTCCGGTACTGATCGAGATTGGGCAAATATTTATATACACTTTTTTTATCAAAATGATGAGATCTATCACCCATTTCAGTTTCTACATCAAAACCTTTATATCAAACTTATAATAAAAGGTTGTAGTTGTACTTTGTAGGTTTGCCAAAGCCTATAATTCAGCTTATTCTCTCCAGTTCTCAATTAAATAAAGGAAGAAGAGGAAAGTAGAACAGTGATACAGTCCTTAGACATTCATTAGGGTGCAGCCAAGACCCTCATGAATGAAAAACGGGGCAGAAGAGAAACACGACACAAAACAACGCGAGAAGAGAGTGTATATGTATACTGTATACTGTATACGTGGTGTAATGGCAGAAGGCATGAAAATAAATGAGGGGCACTCAGACAGTGGCGTATTGATTTCTCCTCTAAGAGGATTATATACTGGGTGTTTCCAAAATTGAAGCGATCAATGAAATCTATGATAGGAAAGGAAACGACGAAATGAAATAAAAGAATACATTTAATATTTTGGTAGATATTGAACTGAAAAGTTTGCCTGAAACTTTTGAAAATCATTGATCAGAGGTTAATAGCTCAACCCAAGCGCTCGCTTGGTGCGCACGAAAGGGAATCCCTATAATGCTCGAAGAACATCGTGGGTACCTAGGGAGGATTGGGTGAGGAGGTAGGGTTAGAATTTTTTTTTCAACTTCTGGAGTTTATAAGTTCTTGGAAATACTTCCTTAGGCAATGAATTCCAGAGCTTTCCCGTTCTATAGATGAACGAGTTTTGATATAGATCACAAGCACCGGAATGACGTTCACAATGTTGCCGGACGTTCAATAATAGTTGACAAATGTAGTATAGTGGAAGCGCATATTTTTCCAAACATTTTCAAAACAATTTTTTTCTTGTGTGTTATCGTGTTATTAGGTCTCATAGAATACCTCATTATATTCTTCGCCCCAATTTCAAGAACACCCTGTATACATAGCAAAAATAGAGTTTCTACTGACATACTCGCAGATTTTTTCAAACATTTTCGAAAAAATTTTTCATGTGTTAAAATGTTATTAGGTCTCATTGAATACCTCATTTACATCATGCCTTAGCTGGATTCCTAGCCTCGCTACGCTCGGCTATGAATTCAGCCTCGGCAGTCAATCTACTACTTCGATACCTAGTGAAACAAATAACTATTTCAAAATATATTCGATTTCGAAGAAAGATGAATTTCTGAAATATGACAGATGGACATCGAAATATATGTATTCATTTCTGAAAGTAAAAAATGCGATTACGAATTGCCATACGTTATAATGATCAGACGGTGCTCTCTCGCTGCTCTTTTCCAGAAGGTTACGATATAAATCTCGCGTCGCGAACCGCCTTTTTCCCATTTTCCGCGAACCCCGCCATAATTTTGATTCATTACGGTTGATTAAAGTGCCTGCAGCACACGTCGAATCCGCTTACATCTCTCTATACGAGAGGAGATGGCGTAAAACCTCTGGAAATCCCAGAGATAGGCAATAAGGAAACGACGGGGACGAAGCAGTGGAAGAAATCGAAACAAAATTAATATACAGGGTGTTTCTTGAGTACGTGTAGAAAATTCAGGAGCATGTTTCTGAAGTCGAAATAAGAAGAAAAGTCTGTATAAATGAATGTCCGAAATTTATTCGTTTCTGAGATACAGAGTGTCAAAGTTGAATTCTTATTTTTGTTTTTTGTTGATAAATTTCATAATAATTGTGATATTCGAATGGAGTTTGGTATCTAGGGGTATTTTTCAATGACAATATCAAATTTCATGTTAGTTTTTCTGTTTTGTAGGGGTGTACTATTGTCATCGGTTCTTGATAAGTGTGCGAAGTTTCAATTCAACTGGAAGTTATGAAGTGGGTCAAAATCACGTTCGAATATTCCATTACGTGCAAATACCATACCATACCATACCAATACCAAGCTGATAAAAGCTGGAAGAGAGTGTAATTTTTCTAATCACAGAAATCATTCATCAGGGACAAGCGTTTCCGAAGTGGATTCCAATACTCATTTCCACATATATTTTCCAGGTGAACATAAGTAACACGTGGATGCTGCCAGAAGAGGGATTTCCGGTGTTCTACCGCTACTTCCGAGATCGCATCTCTTGGTATGAGGCAGACGCAGTTTGTCAGTTCCACCACGGTTATCTAGTAACCGGTAAGTGCTTGTACACAATTTCGCTAAAATTTACTGCCTGTTTTGACAAATGGCAAAATATCGTCCATTAAGATTTCCGAAATTATACAAATTCCATTCATCCAAATATAAATCATACATGGTTTAGTCGAAATGGATTGTTCAGATGTATGACAAATTTTTATTCACCATACAGGGCGTGGAAAGAAATTCTGAGTAAACCCAATCACGAGTCTGTGATTCGAGGTCTGTAAAAATAACTAGTTTCTATCGTTCAAGTTCAAACCCCTTGATTGGGTATGAAAGTATTGAGAAGAAGTATTCTCAGATATATTATGAATATGAAAACAATGGATACATATATAAAGGGTATCCCAATAAATCTCAAAGTCATCCTTTGAAGGGCTGATAGTCTAGCTCATAACTAAACAAAATATCACAATATGACCTCAGTAAAATATTGAAAATCTTGAGGATATTGACACTTTTATGAATTTCGTGAAAATCGAAACCTTGGATCCTGGGAATCTGGATGATTATTTGTTTTATTCCTTTCTATTTATTGATTACAATCCAGAATAGTAGTAATTAGAATAAAAATATTGGTGTAATACCAGTCTAAGTATGAGCTAATTAAAATAAATTAACTCGTGAATCGGGCAACCATGTTCTTTCTCCAAAGGTATTGCCCCAATACACAGGTTGCATAACAAAAATTAAAATCTTAAACTATGAAAATTTGTACCTGCGGCACTCAAAATATTGATAAGAGGTTTCGATTTCATAAAATTCATAAAAATGCCAATATCTCCAAAACTATAAACATTTTACTGAGGTCATTGTGATATTCTGGTCAGTCGAGAACTGGACTATCAGTCCTTCAAAGGATGACGTTGAGTTTTGAGACACCCTGAACATATAAAAAATACATTGAGAATTCGCATTCACTATTTGATAAAAATATTAATTCTTTCTCGGTATATTCAACATAAAACAACTACTTCCCCGGCTATTTCCAGGTCGAACATTGAATTATACTTATTGAACATCCAAGAGGAGGATATGAAAGTAAAAATCTTCCGAAATTGGGAATCGACATTCTCTTTGAAATAGGATAAATAATATGGTTACATGACTTTATTCGAATGAACTCATTTCGGGTATCAAACCCACCTCAGTAACCTGAAGTCCGGTTATTCTTTCAGCCATTCTTCGTGAAATACACAATTTTCATCTCTCTATAGTCAATAGATGTATTAATACTTGAAAAGGATTGTTTTTCTGTGGTGTTAGTCAGGAAACTAGTATTTTCCTTTCAGATGTTGGAGCAATAGTCATTGTAGATACACTTCTTCATACTTTTTTGAATTAGGTATTTCTAATATTTTACAGATATAATTAATTATTCTATGGAATATGTCAGTTTGTTTTCTGTTAAATATTTCACAATGATATCCTTATTTCCCAAAAGAATTTATTCTCAAGCAAGGGGTTATTTTGAGGATGAGAAACATTGCATAATGAGAAGGAAAATGTAGAAGATAACATACTGTATATCCATGATGTTAACGAAATTAGAGCGAATAATAAAATGGGGCATAATGACACGATGAATCAATGAAAAAACATGTTTTTGACAAAAAAATGCCAAACCTCATCTTCTATTTGCAGTTTGTCCTTATTATACTTTGATGATTTTTGAGGAAATTCCTACCAACAGGATTATGAAATTTATGGTGGATCACCTATATGTAATCGTCTTTCACGATCAATTCAATAAATAGCCTGCAAAATCAAGCCAAACTAGATATTCGATAGAGAGAAGAACATTTCAATAACCTCTGGAATTTGGTGTGATCTCAAGAATAAATGAAATAGCGGAATATAAAATTTCATGTGGAATTACAGTAGGTAAAGTCTCTCTGAAAACACGCCTGAATCCACATGGCACAGAACATAAAATAAAATGAAAACCTTTCAACATATCCAGTGCTCTGCGGTCTAGGATTCCTTCGATATATTTTTCCACGTCCCCTGGTTTTCCAACCGGATTGGAATCTTCGATCCGGCGCACACACACAACATAATATCACGGATCCGGTGTTTTCCACCTGGGAGTCCGTCGGCCCGGAAACATTTTCCGGGAATTTATTGGCGGGGTATTTTCGCGGAACGACGTACGACGGGCCCACATAAAAGGGATCAAGCCGCCTGGACGATAAAAGACCACCGGTGCACTGCCGCAGAGGATGGTTCGATAAATGCCTGTAAATTAGTTTATGCGAGACAAAACTATCTACTCGATTTATCTTAACTAAAAACGCCACATTTCCTCGAGGCACTGCCAAAAACAAACAGCACCCTCGTCTATCTTAAATAATTAATCCCATTGCAGCGTATAATATTCCTCGTATACTATACACCTTTGAGAAAACTAATTAACATTGGAATATTTTGCCATAATTAACAAAAAATACAGTAGGGAGACAGTGGCGTACCCAGAAGTGTACCTTAGGGGGGAATACACATTTTTTTTGTAAAATAATTTTGAGATTTGAGCATTACAGAATGAAATCTAAGCGCCTTGGCTTTTGATTTCCAAATATGTATTCAAATGTTCGTGACACATTTTGATTTCAGCATTGAATAACAATTTTGGGAATATCGGATAGGAAAATTAGTAGATATACAGGGTCTTCCAAAATTGCTGGGTATGGTCATTAAATTCCTTAGTTTTCTTTCTTTCAATATGTATATGAAGTTATCAGAAATGCTTCAAAATCATTAATTGAATTCTCATAGTGGGCTATGGATTTTTCCCAAGAAAGTTCCAATTGAAGGGTTATTTCTTTTTATTCTCCAATGAAGAGGACAAAAACAATACCAACACGACTGATCAACCAACAGATTAAAAGTTCATAATGTAAAATAAGCACCTGATTAAATATTTACTGAAACAATAGAATTTCGGAAATATTCAGTAAGTTATTCAATGCAATGTTCAAATTATGTCCATTTGCCCTCACTCACTTTCTCAATACGTCTTGATACATTGAAAATCATTAAAGGATGTATTTGTAATTCCTGGAAAACTGCCTCTGTTGATGCACGAAGTTCTTCAAGATTGCTGGGCCTCTTACTGTATCAAGACATATTGAGAAAGTGCATTGAATACATTACTGAATAATTTCGAAATTCAATTGTTTTAGTACATATTTAATTAGGGACATTTTTGTCAAAGTTGGAATTTGAAAAAATTGCAATTGAAGGTTCAAAGAGACAGATGTGTGAAATCAGAATAAAAACAACTTTTCTATGTGAAAGGTTCAGAAATTCAAACGAATGAGCTTATTTTCAGCGATTAATGTGAAAAAATGTAATATTTGACCTTTGATGATAGTCACGTGACGCCGGACAAATAGGCTAAAAAATCATCCTTAAAAAGATTTTTACATATGATGCCAACTTCAAGAAAGACATTGTATATTCCTCAAATAATGAAAATTAATGTCTGGAATTTTTTTCATAATATAACTGAGACCTTAGACTCAGGAAGGCTTCATGAGGTGAAACATAATTCTGACTAGATTTTCAATTTCTCCTGTCTGCAGTCAGCACCATTAAGCCTTTTACAAATGCATCACTATAATACGAACGCACAGCGGAATAATTCAAGAAACCTGCTCCGTTTGCATGAATAATCAAACAATTTTCCGGGAATCAATACACCGATATTTGCACGGAAACGAAGGCAGTAGAAAACTAATACCGTGCCTATAAAGTATAAAGCATTCAACAATTGTAATGATCCAAATGAGAATTTCGACAATCAAAGCTCATTTCGTATAAGAATTCGATTGATTTAGATTCAGTATAGATCAAACATTCATTCAGCAGCTTCTAAGAGAGCTACGACCCCCTGAAAGGGGGCTCCTGAAGATGATATTCCTTGAATATTTCCGAAACACAGGTGATAAAACTATTCAATTCGGTACAAGAACTAAACTTTCCTTCCCCAATGCAGTGAGAATAAAATCATTACAAAATATCATTCAGGAGTGTACATTAAATATTCATCCTTTTCATGCATATATTTCGAGAATTTAATCTCGGATTATGAAAATCCACACAGCTTTACAGAAAAAAGGTGCTCTTGATCCGTATCGAACAGATGTATCATTTTCGAGTGAAATCGATCTACAAATATTGTTACATCTCACATTTTATGCATAAAGTTGCCAATTTTCCTATCCTAGTGGCTATAAAAACATCAACTACTTTCTTCTTACCGACAAATTTTATATAGGCGCGTCAGATATAGAGGAATTGTGATAAAAAAATACTTCAATTTTTGTGCATTTTTTTCCATAGCCACTACGATTTATTACAATTTTATGCATAATATATGAGATGTAACAATATTTTTGAATCTATTCTACTCGAGAATGATACATCTGATTGATACGTATTGTATACACTTACCATGCTCACCATGGGTATCTTTTTAACGCTGAGAGATAAGTGGTCGGTTAAATGACACCAAATGTGGAGTTTGTCAAGGCCAACTATAATGTGAAAGAATAGATTTAGATCATTTTTATGTCTCCTCTGTAACTTCTTTATTTATGAGGATATTCAAATAGAAATTTCACATTCTCATGGCAGTTTTTCAAAGTGATTTCGAAAAAAATATGAAATTTATACCAACTCTTCTAGAATTTGAGATATCAGCACCAACTTTAGTTTCTCAAATGTAGGTCATAGCTCACTATGACTTAGTTAAAAATAACTTTTTTTTCTCTTCCAGATGATATGTCGCAGTAATAGTTTTCTGTTGATAACAACGGAGTTATCGTCATTTATACAAAAACAAAAAATTATTTGGAAGCCGCCATCTTGAATTTATATATTTTAACAAAAAAATCATGATCTCCAACCTCAAAAACCCCCACTTATCATTTTTGAATGGAATCGGACCAAATCTTGTCCGCCATCTTGGAGCAGCCATTTTTTTTTATTTC